AGCCTCGAGGAAGCCGTGACTGGCTGTTATCACAGAAGGACCATCTACTCTGGAATTTGCCTCCCTCTCTTGTCTGACAGAGCTCACATCTGCTAACCTACAGGACACGGCATAAAGCTCATTTTTTCCCCCGTGCCCTTTATTTTAAAGTGCTGCCAAGGAAAAATTGCGGGCTGCAGTTTGTTTTCTGAAAGGCTTGTGGGGAAGTGAAATAGTCTTCCTCTTCTTTCCAGAAAAGAAAGTAGTTGTACAATTAGATTTGTATATGCACCTGAGGCATAAGGTGGCTTTTTAGAGATAAATAAAAGCTTAAAAGAAGAAGCTACAAAGGTACCACTGTCTAATTCAGGAGAGGCAGAGAGCACTAGTAGAGCTATAGAAGTTAGCCATTTCCCTAGCATACAATCACAGTCTCCCCTTTCCTACACTTGAACAGTTTTCCCCCTAACTTACCACAACGCAGCATTACTCCGTTACAGACACGTCTCGCAGCATGCATTTTTGCACCTGGTCTTTATAAGGCTGGCAGCAAGAGCAAGTCTGTGCTTCTGAATTTACTGTTTTCCATACTAGTAGTCTTCCTGAATAGATAAGGTTGTTTGATTTGGGGGGGTTTCTTAGTAGGTAAAGGGTATGTTAGATATTCTTCTTACACTTTATTGTGGTGTGCGAGATAAAAGTTATGAGCCTTCCGTTTGAACTGTTTTGCATTATAAAGGGTTGGTTCTACCTCCAGCAATGTTGTAGCTGGGTGGGTGGTTTTAGGGTCCTGTTGGGGAAGTGAGAAAAGACTTGACTTCCTATGTTGATCTGACTCTAACGTTAGGGTGGCGCAAAGCCAGAGGGAGGAAGAAGTTCTACTTCTGTTCTTCTAGAAAACAAGTTTCTTTTTCTAAAAGGAAGGTAAGGGAATAAACATTTGAATCTATGCTTAGCAAAGGTTTAGAAACTAACTGGGATGGATCTGATGCAAAGCATGGGAATTTTGGAAAAGAGTTTTTAAATTAATCAGGTCTTTCCTGAAGCAGCTCGTCAAGAGGGTGTAAGATACGTTTTCTCTCCTAAGCAGAGAAGAAAACCATTTAGTTTCTTGTGTCATCTTGGGAGATGAAACAGCTGATTCCCTGCCTGCCGCGGGAGGCAGTCGCTGCGTCGGTGCTTCCCAGTGAGCTCGCGGCAGGTAGGAGCCATGAGACGGAGCGGCCATGTGCTGCTCGGGAACTGTTTTTAGCATCCACAGTACAATTTCCAGGAAGGTGCAGGGTAAGTAGGTGGCAAACAGGCTAGCAAACAGTGTAGAGTGGAAGTGGAGCTGTGGCACACTTATTACTTACGGTTCCTAAAAGCATTTTGTACTCTACAGCAAAACGAGGGCATTAGAGCTCAGCAAACACGGTTAAAAGAGCTAACGACGGTGACAACTCTGGTCATAAGGAGCAGGTTGCCAGCGTAGCGTTACTGGCTGCAAATAACCATGTGTGCATATCCTGTGTTTCAACATTATTTTTTTCCTCTAGGTTAGGAAGAAATCCCCCCCAATTCAGCACTTTTTAATCTTTATTAGTGTTCCTGCCACTGATAGGCCAGTCCCTAATTAACGTGATGGTACTTTCCCATTCCTCTACCACTCTCCTTATTACAAGTCCTTGGCAATATGAGAGACGTGTCTATTACTTAGTCATGAGGTACCTAGACCAGCTTGCTTTTGAAACTATAGACTGTGTACCCCGGGCATACTGTATTTCTGATTTGCATATGGAAAAGGCAGTTAAAAAGCTGATGCCCCCATATTGCTCGCGAGTCAAGTAGCAAAAGTAAATGATTTATCAAGCAAAGGTTACAACACCTGTGCCTTTTTGTCAACATACGCAGAGGATGCCAAGGCAAGTGCTTCTTCTAATAGCTCAAACAGAAATTTAGATTCAAATAACCCCCTGGATAGGACAATTACGTGGTGAGTCGCTGGAGCGGCAGCATGATGGATGGGGAAAGCAGAGGCAGCGTCTGTAAAACCAAACCACCTCAGAAGTCCTGAAGCTGCTAAAAACAAACACATCCAGCAGCCCTTTGCGGGCTTTTGCTCTCGACTCAGAACCAGTGACTCAGATCAGTTTGTTTGCTGGTCTCCTGTCGTGGAGTTGTAGTCCTTCTGCAGATTTTGTTGATAGAGGAATAGGGCCTTTCTCTAAATAAAATATTTCCTTTGAGGAATGATATGTGAAGCAATCTGACATAAATTAGAACAGGCTGCTAATGGAAATGTCTATTGCTAATTTCTATAATGCCCATTAAGAAAGGCATGTACTGTTTCTGGCTGTTTAAAAACAGCCCAGGACAGAATGATCCTTGCTCAAACCCAGCCGCGCTGTCGTACATTTATTTGTCTGCGATCTTATTCCAATGTTCTGTGAAAGCCCGTGAATGCCCATGTATGGGAAATGTGACTTCTGCTCAACAGCACTGTCACACCACCGTGCGTAGCCGCACTTCTGCAGCATTTGGAGGCTAATAACAGTGATGGATAACTAGCACCGGTAGTCAAGGGACCCACCAGTTGGAAGAGAAAATCAGAACCACTAAAAAGCCTTATAAGCTGTAGCTGGACCATAATTTCAGGAAAAGCAGACATGTTCAGATACAGACTTTGTGTTTATTTTGTTGTGTCAGCAGAAAAGAGTTGCTTAACTCTTGCATTTGTATTTAAGCTGGTAGCTTGACTTTCAGAAGCTCTAAGTATTCACTGCTTCCTCCTGTCTAAGGGAGCTGTACGGCCTGACAGTTAATGGTCCTCAGGACCCATATCTTAGCCTGACTCTGAATGTACTATAAAAATCCTGATGGAAAGCAGCCACCCCAGCTGCTTTTAATAACTCAGTTCTACTCTGTTTTTATTTTTTCATTTTGAAAATATCCTAAGTGATTGTTCTAATTTATACACTAATGTCCTGCAAAAAAATTACAAAAGCATGTCTTTGTTCAGAGGAACGTTAACTAAATTCCAAATCATTGCAGTTTGCATTTTTACCTCGCTTTCTCTGATTTAAAACATGGTCAACTTCAGAGCTGTTTCATGAATAAGTACTGAGTTTTACTGATAAATTATATATTTAGTATCAAGTGGGTTGTGGTGTTGTAATGATGTATAGAAGCACAGGGATGCAGCTGGAGTCAGGGACTGGAAGTCAGTCTCCTTACCCACTGCAGCATGTTTGACTTTAATTGAAAGCTGTGCTTGAGTATTGTTTTTCACTGTACAGCATTGTTATTCACTATACTGCATTACCTAGAAGCACTTAAAGTAAGGCTAGAGCACTTTCAAGTGATTTAAATCATAAATAAGGAGCATCGAAGTTTGCAGTCAACAAACTTACGTGGGAAAAACAGGATGCAAGATGCAAATAAGTTTAAAATATTTTGGAGACTTAATACTGTTCTGACATACTATATAATCAGTTTACCAACTCGTCGTTTTTCGAGTCTCCTGGAAAAAGGTAACATAGCTTTCTCCAAAGGGTTTCAAGTTGCCTGAGCTATGAAGGAAAAGACCGAATGCTTAAGGACTTTAACAGCATATACCTTAACATTCCTCTCTTTCCTTATTTCTGTGTACTGCAATTGTTTCCAAAACCACAAGAGAAACGCAATGATTTAAACGTGAAGGCACATGAAAACGTGACACGTACACCAACTGACCAAAGGAAGGGGAAGCGGGTGAGAAGTGGGGCGCGGGCTGCGTTTTGTTAACGCGTGGAAGAAAATCAGAGCCTGATGGGTTAAAACCCCGCTCGCTCCTGCCCGTGTACTTTCCGTGACCCTACTTAATGCCGAGAAGGTTTGAGGTCCAATGCAGTTTAACCTGCGCTGTCGACAGAGCTATAAACTAAAGCCCCTAACAAATTGTACACAAAGAACTGATAGCAAGAAAACACATTGTGCTCACGGGCACCTGGCTGCAGCCCTGTGAACCGAAAACCCTCGGTAGCGGGTGCCGTGCGTCTCGTTGACAGCGTAGGCGCTGCCACCGCCGCGAGGAGTCCGTCCTCCGGCGTACGCTAGGGCGGCATGTGACAGCCACGAATGCGGATGCTAATTGTTCAGGTGCGTATAAGAGCTTACAAGAGCTAAAAGTAGCACTCTGCTATTTGCTAGTTATTGAATTACTTGTTTAGGCATCACGGCCAGCTCAAAACGAATTATAAATGTTTCTCGCTGTTGACCTTTAAAAGCATTGTAATGTAGTCGAGCAATTATTTATAACTACAAGCTACAGTTGTCCTAAAACACTAGTTCTACTCACTTTTTTTATACCTGCTCCCCCAAGATAACGTGATATTAAGCACAGACTTAATTTTTTCAACATCTGGCTCAAATTAGCTGCTAACAAAACTGCCAACAACTATTTTCTTAATCGACCCTGGGAATTTGATACAGCTTGGAAAAAGCACATTTAAACCTTGTCCTTCTCCTAAAGAAACACAAATGTTTACTTGAGCTTCTGATTCGACCATAGCAGGTCTATGAATTCAGTTAACCCAGCTTTACGGGCCTGCCTCAACTGGCCTTTTTTTTTTTTTCCCCCCCCTTTTTGCACAGGGGAACAGATGCGCTCGCAATTGCAAAATCGCCTGCTTGCTCAGACCCCACCATGCAAACGGCCAAGCGGGA